AGTGATAATGGTGCCGAATTCAATATGACCTTATTCTTCAATCAAAAAGGCATCATTCATCAAACCACTTGCATTGAGACACCCCAACAAAATGCCCTTGTAGAGCGAAAACATCAGCACTTACTTAACATAGCCCGAGCTCTACGGTTTCAAGCTGGTCTCCCATTAACTTTTTGGACTGAATGTGTGCTAACTGCTACCTACATCATCAATCGCATTCCTTCACCTCTCCTAAACAATAAAAGTCCTTTTGAAATCCTTTTCAATAAACCTCCAATCAATTCCCATATGAGAACCTTCGGTTGCCTTTGTTTTGCTTCCACCATTTCCAATGGCCGTACCAAATTTGATCCACGAGCCAGACAAGCCATTTTTCTTGGTTACCTTTTTGCTGTCAAAGGATACAAGCTCCTTGATATGCAAACTCACACTACTTTTATCTCCCGGAATGTCATCTTTCATGAAACAATTTTTCCTTTCCTTCAATCATACACACTTCCCTCACACTCTTCTCCCAATCCTACTCTTTCCCTTCAACCTTTCCACACAGCTCCCATTCCTTTCCCTCCTACCTACACCTCGACCCCCCAGCCTGTCCATACTTCCCCTAACATTTCTTCCCCCATTCTACCCTAAACAGACAGCATCCTAACCCACACTCCTTCACCTCCCTCTTCATCCTCTCCAACGTATAACCATTCATCCCCATCACCACAGCCTTGCAGATCCACAAGAACTCGAAATGCACCTAAGTATTTACAGGATTACCACTGCAATCAGACTCACTTCACCTCTTCACAAGCGTTGGACAAGATGTCTTCCTCAGGTACTATTTTTCCTTTACATCAATCACTTTCATATCATCGTTTATCACCTGTTTTTCGTGCTTTTTCCACTTCCATTTCTTCACATCTTGACCCACAAACCTACAACCAAGCTGTTAAGGACCCGAGATGGTGTGAGGCAATGCAGGCTGAACTGGACACTCTTGAGCTAAACAGAACTTGGGTGTTGACTGATCTACCAGCTAGACACCACCACTACTTCACCTAAAGGCTCTCGGCCAAGTGACCTTCACTTACACGCTACACACAAAATCTTGAAGTATCTCAAATGCAATCCAGGTCAGGGTCTTCTCCTCTCGGCTCACTCTCCAATTCAATTACATGGTTACTGTGATTCAGACTAGGCTTCATGCCCTGATACCCGAAAGTCCACAACTAGTTTCTGCATATTCATTGGACAGTCACTCATCTCCTGGAAATCCAAAAAGCAATCTGTGGTATCCCGTTCTTCTGCCGAGGCTGAGTACCGTGCTATGGCAGCAACTTGTTGTGAGTTTACATGGATTCGCCAACTCTTTGATGACTTGCACATTCCACATCCTACCCCGACCATCCTTCATTGTGATAATCAAGCTGCCTTACACATTGCTGCGAATCCAGTTTTCCACGAGCGTACCAAACACATAGAAGTGGATTGTCACATCATTCGCAACAAAATTCAAGAGGGCAGCATTGCCACTGCTCATGTTCCTAGCCACTCCCAGTTAGCTGACATTTTCACCAAAGCACTCTCCTCCAATGTGCTTAATACTCTTCTTTTCAAGATGGGAATAGTTAACCTCTATTCTCCATCTTGCGGGGGGGTATTGGATAATAATACTTTTCAGAATGAAGCCCACGTACAGCTGGACACCACCACTACTTCACCTAAAGGCTCTCAGCATTTTCCTAATGAAAACGGGTAGTGTTGATCTGCTGTGTATTCCTTTTTAGTTAGTTATTTTTTTTTTTTTTTTTTTTTGTTGCTGAGTTGTACAAATATTAGTGGTAGAGTTTGTTATTCTCTTTCTTCGAGAATCCTCTGTATATAAGGCATATATACATGCTATTTGTGCCCATTTTCACAACAATGAGAATGAATCATTTCAGTTGACACTGGTGTTCCTTTCCCTGCTTTTCTCGTGCTCTGTTTTTCAACTGTAATACGCCTTGCAAAAGGTACCAATTGTTATGGAAACTTAAGGTTAATTTAGAACCTTTTACTGGGTTCTCAGGCAGTCTCCTTGGCTATGCTAACAGATTCTTCTGTCTCATGCTAGACTTAATTTCTCTAGATCTTCTTCCCCGGTATACCTCTACTGCTCTTGCATGCACTATCTGTGATCTCAGAAGGCTTAATAATATGAGCCAAACACTATATATGCTAATTGATGCATACCATATGTTCCGAGCCAACAACAAAATTGTAAATTGAGGTATTGATGAACAAATTCTAATTCCTTGCAAGTGCACGAATCGCTCTTGTAGTCTAGTGTGCAAAAGCAATGGTCAATCCCACGAAGATTTGTACGCAATTTACTAATCCTAATAACTATATTTCAAATTAAACTAATAACTAGAATTAATAATGAAGACTTAAAGAAGATCACTTTAAAAGCAACCATTGAATAAAACTAAAATTAAACAACTATTTGAATAAAGCTAAAATTAAACAACTATTAAAATTATCTAAAACCCAATTGACCAAAAACTAAGGCTCCAATTTCACCATAATTATCCAGCTCTATGTCAAACATCACTCTATTGTTTATCAATTCAATCTCTAGGGTTCGCATTCACTAGATCAAGGTATTACTGTAAGACGTTTGGGATTAACCTAATATTTTTAACACAAGACTAGCTAGGGCATATAATCTAACCTATGAATTAAAAACTCATTAAACACAGGAATACTTGAAATCAAGAACAAATGCGTATTTATCAGGGCGTATGCACAGACGCTAATTATTCAAGAAATCATGAACCAACTAATATTCTATTAGGGCATATGCACAAAATACTAATCATTCATTCAATAATCTCAACACAAACAACCTACTAATTCACACTAAGTGTCGTCACACAACAATGAAAATTAAAGGCAGAATAAATACATAAATGAATCCAGATTTCCATTGAATTAATAACAATAAATATATGTTTAAACATAGAGCCTTCCAACTAGGCTATATTTGATCCCTAAATAAGAGTTTAGTTACACATTGACATTAAAGAGAGCAAACCTGAAATTCCCCTGAAAGCATGAATAATCCAAACCCTAGGAAGAATCTCCTTCTTTTTCTTGATAAAAAGTAACTCGCAATTTTGGCAAAAAAAGAATCCCCAAAATAAATTATAAAGTCCTATTTATACTTTTCCTTTGTTAGGGGTGTTTTTGGGAGAGTTCAAGTTGGAGTTGGAGTTGGAAAAGGTAAGATTTTTATTTTTCTTGCGATCCACACCGCAACGTGATATCCAGCGCCGCCAGGCCAAATTCTTCCGTAAATACAAAACTTTTTCACACTGCAGCATGAACTCTTTGTCTAAATTCAGCTTCTCGCGCCATGGCGCATAAAACTCGCGCCGCGGCTCATAAAACTCATGTCGCAGCGCAGAAAAACCATGCTGCAGCACATAAAAACAATGTTGCGGCACCATCCAGCAATTTCACATTCTTTCTTTTGCTTGACGATCCAACTTCTCTCTTTAGTACGTACAAAGCCTCCAACCACCTTGTGAGCATAAATTCATCACATTTTCGACCTAAAAACCAAAAACTCATACACATACCTGTGATTTCGGAAAATAGAAATATACAAAGAAACTTGCATAAAAATAATCCATGAAAGTCACGAATTCCCTACAATCTACCCATAAAATCATGAAATATATATATTATTTCATCACTCATAGGTAAGCAAGCTAGGATAATGGGAAAACATTAATTGAAGCACATTACTTATTATATCCTATAATTGTTATATTTTAGGTTTATGTTACCTGTGTGTTTTGGATATACAATGTTAATGAGAGAATTTATGTGAGTTTTTAGGTCTCTATTATATCAATTAGTAATGTGGTAATGAAAAATAAATTTTCATACATCAATTAACTTTACAAGTGTAACGTTACTCTTATCTTTTAATTTGGAATTAACGACTTTTATAAACATTTTAGGATTTTTTTTTTTTTTTTGTGAAATTCATTTTATTCAGAGATTTGTCACAAATTGATAAACCACTCATGCAGGACATGAATACAATGTTTGCGATATTCAAAGGTTATGAAGCTTTTAAAAATGAACTTTGATAATGGACATGATAATATATACAGTGACGAAACCCAAAATGAGTAATAGAGAAGAGAAGAAAACTATCAGACCAGGGCCTAAGACAATATCCAAATACCACTAAAGCCCAGTAATTAAAGCGGCTCTTTCTTATGCTATTCTACAATTCATCGAATTTTTTATTCTTTTATTTTATCAACATTATATTGCTGCTACATTCATTCAAATTATTGCAAATGATTTGGCATGTCATTAATCTTCATTCAAGATTTTTTCATCTTTTTAATATCAATGCCTTAATTATATTGCAAAATGTCTTATTTTGGTTGTTCCGAAATAATACTTTTGATTAAAAATAAAATGATAGCCCATTTATATAATGTTAGATAATGATTTATACATCAATCCCAAGTCACGTTCATACCACTAACTAATTCTACTTAAATTAATCAAACTCTCCACGCTTGATCCACTCATTTTTAAATAGGTTTAAATTAACTATTTTATATCAAAAAATTTCTTTGGGCCTCAAGTTCTGCCAGAGTGATGTGCTTGGACCCAAATAAAATTATATAAATTTATAGATGAAATAAAAAATTTAAAAATTGGATAATTAATTATATAATTTATTTAAAATTAAACTAAAAAATAAATCTTTATTAAATTAAATAAATAGAATGTATGAAATTAAATAAAATACTATATTAATATTTAACACAAAATTATCTTTACATAAAACAAATCTGAGCAACATATTTCTCAAATATATTAAATACAAGGAAAACAACAATTTAGATATTGGCAACTAGAACAATAAACGTTGTCGTTTCAGCTGACCTTGACCTGACATTTACAATACTGTATTATGTATAGCAATTTAGCTACGAACCCTAGTTCAAATTGACTTTGTCCTCTCTATTATATCGGAAGCTCTCCGGATCCTCCATAGCTCTGAACCAACGAATCTCTTCAGCGATGGCGAATCCGATCACCAAGTCTCTGATCTCAGCTTTGATCGCTCTCTTCTTGATCTCATCCTCTTTCGCCAGCTCAGACGTTCCCTTCATCGTGGCACACAAGAAGGCCACTACGAAACGATTCAAATCCGGCGTCGAGCGCGTCTCCGTCTCCATTGACATCTACAATCAAGGAACCTCGTACGTTATACTAATAATATCTGAACAACTTTACTCAGATCTAGCTCTGATTATTTCTTATTTGTCTATCTTTAGATTTAATTAGCCTTTTGTATGTATTCACCAATTGAATCTATGATTGATTGAATAGAAAAGCCACCGTATAAGCATGCACATGTAATTGATCATTAATTTTGCAGGACGGCTTATGATGTGAGTCTCACTGATGATAGTTGGGCTAAAGAAGTGTTTGATGTAGTCAGTGGTAACGTCTCACAATCCTGGGAAAGACTTGATGCGTGAGTGATATTAACAGTAATGCGCCATTTCGTTGTATTAATATTTGTTTTGTATATTTAGCCCAGAATTGCTAAATTGGTATTGTGCATGTAATTTTTAGTGGTGGTATTCTCTCCCATTCATTTGAATTGGATGCCAAAGTAAAAGGAATGTTTTATGGTGCACCTGCGGTCGTGACTTTCCGCATCCCTACAAAGACTGTTCTCCAGGTCTGACTGACACCCATAAGAGTGTTTCAAAATTAAATCTTGTTTGCGTGAATATCAGAATTGTGCGGGCTTGTAGTTTAATGAGTTGTTTCTTTTTATAGGAGGCATATTCAACTCCAATTTTGCCTTTAGATGTCCTTGCTGAGAAGCCCGCTGAGAATAAGCTTGACTTGGTAAGTTCGTTTGTTTTGTTTTCGAAATAGTTTATATATTGAGTATTCTGTGGTTTATTATTGCTAATATTTTGTTGTTTCATGGAATGATCTTCATCGGTTGATATTAAATATCTGCAGGCTAAGGTATGGATCGCTGTCTTTATGTTTGTTATTTTTGTGTTATGAAAGTTTTTGGGACTTGCATTTGGGGTATGGTGATATTGAATTGAGTTGCATGTATAGTCTTATTGAAGCTTGGTATCATGGTTTTGAATAAGAATGAGCCACTGATAATTTTATGTGCTTCATCTCCCAGAGCATCTTTACTCCTTTTTTATCAATTGGTTGTAAAATTATATGATGTTTAGACATAGGGACTAATATTTGAGTTTTTTCCTCTCATTCTTCTTACTTATATACTGAAACCGGGGTAGTGTTTTTGCTCTGGATCTGCTACTCTGATAATAATTTTATAGAATTTCTTTTAGAAGTGCATTTCACGAAATGAGATAATGAAATTAAAATTTGAAGTTTAAGATTCGAAATGTATTCTATAATGTAGTTGCAAAATGGTTTTCTACATACTGATTATTAAGCCAAACATATTTCAACTGGTCATTTGTTTTTACAGAGCCAGATATGTATTTTTTCCTTCAAATACTTTAAATATGTGGGGCAATTTCCAAATTACATTAGCAATTAGTTGTATTTTATGCACCTTAAAAACAGTTTCTGAAAGGATGCATTGTACATTTCTTTTTAGTGATACCAAGAACACCTTAAAGAATGTATATTCATTTCCGTTTCTTATATGCAGAGGTTGCTGATGAAATATGGCTCTCAAATCTCTGTGGTTTCTATCGTGGTCCTGTTCGTGTATCTGATCACTAGCCCATCAAGTACTTCAAAAGGAAGCAAGAAGAAGCGCTAGAAACTAGGTCGACTTAATCCAGGATGGTTTTGTTTTAATGAAGTGACAGTTACACTTCGAGAAAATTTTCTGTAATTTAGTCAGAATATTTGCGGAATCTTTGTTTTTGTGCGGAATTTAATTAGAACCATGTACACTTTTAACTTCAGGGTTATATGTTGATGTCGGTGAAGGTTAATCCCTGTTCTACTTATACACTTAGTTTTTTATTATGTCTTTGTAGTGATGGTACCAGATTAGATTTGATATTATGAAGAGGTAACATGAAGAGTAGCATTTATCACATAAAAAACATGTTAGTTATTTTACTTATTTATACTTGTTTCGCTTGTAAAAATATGATACAGGCTTTGATTGAAATTTACAAATTTTAATTTAAATTGCCGAGGGGGATTATAAAAAATAAAACAGTCATAAATAGACTTGTGCAAGGCCCGGGCCCAGCCTGGGCCTTGAAATGGGACCAGTCCTTCAACGCCCACATCTCATGGGCCTAGAAACGGTCCCAGGCCCATGAGATATAATCAGGGCTTGGATCGGTCCCTAGGACTAGTCCTAGACCCATACGACCGGTCTTAGGACTGGTCATATAGGTTTGGAAAATTACTTATGTCCCTCTTAATTTTTTTTTATATTTGGGCCAAATAAAATTATATAGGGGGTTTATGTAATTTTTTAGGGGGTGTTTTGAAATTTTTTTAATTAATTAGTAAATAAATAATTAAATATAAATAAATGGTTAATTGGTTATAAATTATTAAATTTAGGGTGTTTTTAATTTAAACTTTAAAGAGATAATTTAATTTTAAATTTAAACTTTAAAGAGATAATTTAATTTTAACATAAATATAATATTCACATATTCACAGTTTACTAATAAACAATTAAATAATTTTTTTTATTAAATTAATTTACATCATTCAAATCTGTATTTTTTAAGAGATCAAGTAGTTCGAGATCTTCAGGATGCTGTTGTAGTCTTCTATCTACGTGAGTTTGATCCCATAAACATGTTGTGACTTCAAACATCTAATTGGTTAAAAAACATTTTCTTTCTTCAATAATGCGGCCATTAATTAAGAATGCTGACTCAGATGCAATTGTCGAAACTGGCATAGATAAAATGTTACGTGCCATTTGGGCTACAATGGGAATCAACTTGCATTTTGACTCCACCATTGAAGCAGATCCATCTCACGTTTCTCCTTCTTCGTCATTTAACACATGTCCATTTATAGGTACTGATGCAACTCATTTGGTCAATGTCTGTACGAGTTGGAGTTGCTACTTTCGCCATGTTCCATATATGTCCACATGCTCGATCCTATTCCTTGTTGATAAATGTCTTCATCAGGATCCTGGTAATCTCTGTTGGCGCTGGCCGTTCCTCTGTACCTAATCTCATACAAAGAAAAAAGACTTTCCAATTTTCTATTAAAGTCTATCAAATAACAACGATAGTCGTAATCTAAATGATGGCCTATCTTAGTAACCATACATTTAAATACGTGTAATTTAAACCTATGATCTGCAATAAAATCTAATCCATATAAGATTGGAATATTTAACCAATATTTCCAGTTTTTTTTTTCCATTCTTGAAACAACTTCGCCTAAATTTTCATCATATCTATGTCTAGCAAAAGTTTTAGAAATTTGAAGTAAAATATCTAACGCTACATTAGTAGTAGGATAATAAATACCACTTATTATATTAGTGGAATCGTAAAAAAACTTTAAGAAATGAAAGAAAAACATAGCAAACCGTCCAATCCGAATCATTGACAACTTTGTCCAGACAGTTCGTCTGGTTGACGAAAATTATTGTCTTGCGGTTGCCATAGTTTTTTACAACATCAAGTACGTGGAGTTCCAACGGAAATGCATGTTCGTACAAAATTTCTTTGGTTGAATCAGCGACTCCTCTTGGTGATAATATTTTACGTACTTTGTCCATCTTGTATTGCCTCCGGCGATGAATCTGACAGCCGCGTGCACCCTTTCAATCCTCGAATTTATAGCCTCTAAACCTGCTTTAACAATCAAATTGATGATGTAGCAAGCACATCTCTGGTGAAAAAAAATTGTCATCACCACGCAATCTAATCTCTTTTCAAATAAAAAAATTGTCGTGGTATTAATAATTGCATTATCAAGCATTAGCGCTACACCTCTATTAGTTAATACATATTCTTGCAAAACTTCAATAATTATAAAATAAATTTTGTCACCACTATGTTTTTTATATAATAGTTTAAAACCCATCAATTTTTGTTGCAAATGTCAACTATGATCTAGGAAATGTATTATGATACTCAAAAAATTTGTTTTTAATGTAGTAGCCCATATGTCTGAAGTAAGTACAATAGATATATTCTTAAAATTTTCAAAGTCTATTTTAAGTTGATCTCTTATTCTATTATAAAGATTTAATATGTCCTTTCTACATGTACTTCTACTAACAGAGCTATGAGCCGAACAAAAAAGGTTTTTAAACAATTCAACAAAAAAAAGGATTTTCATATAAATGTGGCCAAATCTGGCCACATTTAGCCGTCAATAATGGCTAAAGATATGGTCATTGTTGATGACCTGATGTGGCCAAAAATGGGGCCAAAAAAGGTCAGATCGGCACACTACCGACCAAATCCAGCTGGTAATATGTCATTATGTTAGATTCCGACCTCCTTCTAGCTGTGGTGGCAAAAATCTAGCAAATATGGGTACGTGAGAGTGTTTTTGTCAATTTATAAACTTTTTATTGTTGGGGTGTTTAGCTAAATTAACAAACCTAATGAGTGTTTTTGTTAATTTTCAAATTCTACCTCGTAATAACAACCTAACTCTACTTTTTCAAAGTAATAAAACAAGCACTGCCTTAACAATCCTAACCATATTTTTTTTTTTTTTTTAGGTATTTGCATTTGGTTCTTTCTCTCTTCGTATTTTGATTATTAAAGAATTATAAGGTTAAAATATATTAAAATTTCAAGTATTTTTAATTTATTTAATATATATTTTTAAACATTTAACAATTGATTATTGATGTATGATGAAAAATAGCACTGTATGACTAAAATTGATTATTGATGAATGATAGTTGAAAATGATGAATTGTTGATAAAAAATTGGAATAATACATAAAGTTTTATTTGCTATGAAATAAGTTTAAGAGAAAATTGTCCATTATATATATATATATATATAAAATTAAACTATAATAAGAAAATTTAGCCAAATTATTATCAACTATCATTCTTCAATAATTAAGTGTGAAGTGTGAACTATTCTATGTGATAGAGAACTCAGTTAGCTTAATAATTAGTAAAACTTTACACATACACTTTAATAGGAAAACTCATTTAGTTTAATTGTAAATGTGTTAAGTAGAATATTTTAGACTAAATATTAATTAATATATATTTTATTAAATTTTGAAAAACTTAAAGATTATTATAAATTAAATATGAACATCTTTGAATATGATGAGATAATAATTTGTTAAATCACTCTGTCACATGAATTAAGATATAACACTTTTTATAGGTGTAGAATTACCTAATAATTAAAGCCTTTTACAATCAAAAAGAAAGGAAATGCATGAAGAATATGCAATTGTAGGCAAATAATATAAGGTGGAAGAATGGTAGTTGCATATGCACATATACAACTTTATGCATCAAATGGGCTAACAAAGAAACATAAATGTTGACCAATTTGTTAGCTTTAGTTTCTTGAGTTACGTTGGTTGCTCACATTTTCAGGTCTATTTTTTTAACACCTTTGCTTTAGACTTTATCTTTACTTTAGAAAAGGAAAATTGATTTTTTTTTTTCTTTTTTTTTTGGAAAAGAAAAGTTAGTCATCAAATGAAATGAAATGAGATCATCACAATGTTTCACGCCTAGCACGTGAGAGAAAGCAGCAGGCTTTCCACCATGTCCTATTAATTTTTGTTACTTCCAATGCCATCTTCGGTTCACTTACAGTGCCATCCTTAATGTTTGAAGCATATGATTTACCTCATGTTGCATTTGGTTCGGGGTGATATAAGATTAATCATGTAATCTTTATTTAATTTTTAAGATTCCCTTATTTGATTGTCAAGTAATAAAATATTACGTAATCTCTTATTGTAAATAGTGTTTACTGTTGGTAATATTGGAAGTAATCAGATTACCTTCCCAAAGGGTGTTAATATAAGATTACCGAGGTAATATTAATTTTGACCCTATTTTGCCCTTAATCTTTTATCATTTCGGATACATTTGCCCTTATATGTCTACCAAATAACAACACTTAGACCCCCTATATTTGAGAATTTAGCTAAAACACCCCAGTCATAAAAAGGTTTAAAAGTTAACAAAATAACCCCAACCACCTAAGATCATCATCGGCCGCTAGCCACCACCACTGGCCGCTGGTGAAAGTCGTCATATCGACGAAAGATCGACAGGATCTTGTCGGTCGTGTGCCAGAAACGACAAGATCTGAACGTTTCAGGGCCAAAGATGTGGCTTTGAAATGCCATAGATCTGGTAGTGAAAAGGCCAGATCTTTGGCCGTGAAATGGATGCCGTTTCACGACCATATTCACCGCTAGATCTAGCTGTTTTTGGCCATGGATCTTTAGGCCTTATCGGCCCAGAACCAACCAGATCCGATCGGTCATGCGCCACTACGGCCATTGTCGGCTGTGGTAGCTGGCTGCTAACAATGGCTTGGGGTGGGTGGGGGTGATTTTGGTACAAATTAAAGTTTTATATGGCTGTGGTGTTTTAGTAAAATTTCAAATATAGGGGGTTAAAAGAAATAATTTAAAAAATAATAGAATAAAAATAATAATAAAAATAATATTATGTTATTATTTAAAAAAGAGGGCAATTTAGTAATCTAAATAACATTATCACTCATTTTTCTTCCCAACCAAGCATATTATTATAACAAACTCACCAATTTATTCCAACCAACCAAACACACTTCTTTAAAGATTCCTTAGTAATCTATCTTTCTAATAATATAACATTCCCCAATAATACAACATTCCTTGAATCAAACACATCCTTAGTATTATGGGATACAAACTATTTAGACCCCTAATTTTTTATTCACATGTTATTAGAAATGAATAAAATATAAAAAAATAGTTCACTTGGGCTTTGGCTTTCATGGTTTTTTGTGTTTATATTTAAGCCGAAGCCAAAGCCAAAGCCCAAGTGAACAGCATAAAAAAATTTAAAACATCTGTTACCTATTCTATTCTATTGAATTATTTAAACCCGTTAGATTTGTTAATTTAACTAAACAACTTCAACAAAAAAGTTTATAAACTAACAAAAACAACCCCATCCACCCACATTTGCCAGATTCCAACCACTATCGTCAGAAGGTGATCGAAATCTGGTGTAATGACGTACTATCGACTGGATCTGGCTGGTAGTACACCGATCTAACAGTGGATCTAGCCGAAAAAGAACAGATCTATCAACGGCTAGATCTTTGGCCACATCTGGTCATCAACGACGACCAAATCTAGCTTTTTTCGACCAGATTCATGGTGGATCTGGCCGAAAAAGGTCATATCGACACATGATCAATCGGATCCAGCTGGTCGTGCGCCATTACAGCAGAGTGGGTGGTGGGAGTGTTTTTGTTAATTTATAAATTTTTTATTGTAGGAGAGTGTTTAGTAAATTAACAAAGCTAGGGGGTGTTTTTTATTAATTTTTAAATCCTACCTCGTAATAACATCCCAACTTAACTTTTTCAAAAATACTACTTAAAATAATAAAACAAACACAACCTAACTTTTTACTACTTTTTTATATTTTATTTGTTTCTAATAATATGTGAATAAGACAATAGGGGTGTTAAAGACTTTTTATTGAAAAGTCTCACATGATTGAACTTAACTGTTTGTATCTTATAGTACAGTACACTCTAAACCTTAAAGATGAAAGGGTAAATAATCCCTATCATACTCCCTTTCTTCAAAATGAATATATACATCAGGTAACGATAATTAATTGTTAAAATAAACAAAATTTTAGGATATAAATGGAACTTCAATTCATTGAATAAAATTCAATGCAAACAAGTAAAGGACCACAACATACTTTAACTTTTATTTTACGGATTTTATAAATATTTTTTAAGCTTATATCTTATTATTGAAACAAATTAATTACAATTAGAAGGCGATCGAGCTAGGTGCCCCACTTAGAAAATATTCATTTTAAAAGAATAAACGACATGTTCCCACCCAAAGATTAGTGAAAGAGCAAGTGTCCACCCCTAGTTTCATTTAATTCAAATTCTCACCCTTATAGTAACACCATCAGTGACTGTAGAATTCTAACATATGCTATTACCAAATTGTCCTTTCATTTTCTTCTTTTTCGTACCAACCATTGCCACCATCACCTAGTTGCGCGATTTTTGCCCTTTTTTGATTGCTTCTGGCATAAAAAATCCCTCCCGCAAGCACCAATCATCTCACCGGCCTCCCACCTCCAAATCTCGTATCCTCCCTGACACCAATTGCCTGCCAGCTGCCGCCCCCCACCATTTAGGGTTTCACCATTTTGAAGACTTGGGGTTGAGATTTTTGAGTTTTTGATGGCTTTTCGGATTGGATTTTGATTGTGGAAGTAGTTTTGTTGTGTATGTATCTGCGTGATTGATTTTCGGTCACTAGTGCTTCCATCTACAACTTTGAAGGTTAGCAAGTCGATTGTTCAAAGAAAGTCCACAATGAACAGCCCCCCGAAATACACTCAAAACAAAAACTCTGTAATATCACTCTCAAACAACTCCAAAAATCAAATCAAAGCAAACCAAAAGTAAAGAACAACCCAAAAGCAGTCACATGAATGCCCAATTGAGAAGTTGGATTGTAAAACACGACTGACTTGCGGCGTAGAGAGAGGTCACGGGCAAAAAACGATGATGGATAGTTAAATCTTGTCGATTTTGATGGTCAGAACCAGTGAGGAGCCTATTGAATGGTCAGAACTAGCAAGGAGCCTATTGAACGGTTAGCGGCGGTGCTGGCAGTGTAATGGGTTGGAAATCATAAGGACTTTAGAATGACAAGTTTAACTTTTAACTGTTTCTTTAAACAATTTTATGTTACTTTAAGGTTGGAAATCTAGAATAAATGAAACTAAGGGTAGAACCTTGTTATTTCGCTAATCTTTGGGTGGGAATATGTCGTTTGCTCATTTTAAAATTATTGACTTATATTTATGTAGGAATCCATTTACATTTCAATATACAATTTTGAAGAAGAGTTAAATATGAATAATTATTTTAATATCAATTCATTAATTCCCGTAAACCATTAATATTTCAATACTTGTGCTCATTATGAATTGATAACAACAAATTTCAAATCTTAATCACTACTTGGATGAAAATGAAGAAACAAAAATAAAATTAAAGTGTCGAAAAAAATCACACAGAAGAAGCTTCTCAAAGTTTGAAAATGCAAGTGAAGTGAGTGATAGGGTGGTTTATATACGAGGGCATTTCAAGGAAACTACAATGCAATGGTTAATATGGTATAGGTTTGAAAGTATATTAAATTTTTTAACTCCATTTTCAGATAATTTATTAATAGAATAAAGACTTTTTCCTACCCAAGGTTTGCCTTACCCTTTTCCACCCAAAAAGTTTCAAAATTTAAATTTTTTAACTCCATTTTCAGATAATTTATTAATAGAATAAACGACTTTTTCCTACCGAGGTTTGCCTTAATGACTCTTTTCCACCCAAAAAATTTCAAAATACCATTTTCTCACCTAAAGTTAATATTTCATTACTACCCATATTTAATTTCGGAGGCAAAAATCCTCTCCATCACTACCATTTGAACCTCCAGTCTTCTCTCTACAAAAATGCTCTTACTCCGGTACTTGATTTCTTGCCAAATGTCAACCACCGCAAAGTTAAGTTTTCTTGTTCTTAACTAATTTTTGGTGGTGAATATTCAATTAATCACCATCATTCGATCCACCGGCCTCTACTCTACAAAACCTCTCTTACCTTAACTCTTGGGAAGAATATTTTGGGTATTAACGGAATATAAACTTTGAATGAGAAAGTGGTATTTTAAAACTTTTGGGTGAGAAAGTGTCATTAAGGCAAACCTTTGGTTGAAAAAGTTATTTATACTTATTATATCCCTTTTATTATCGTGAATGAACGATTATTTATTTATGAGTAATACTATACTTATATCACTCTTTTACATAATTTTTATTATATGAGTAATGCTATACTTATATCACTCTTTTACATAATTTTCATTATATCATGATGTGGTATATGTCAGAACTACACAAATTTTTAATTATTTTAAACTTTTAATATTATAATAGAATTACAAATTTTTAATTATTTTAAATTTTTAATATTATAATAAAATTTGTGTGATTATATTATATGCTACATGATGTTTGTAACATGACTCTTATTTATTTGTACTAACAAGTTATTATGCTTATCCTATCATATATCCTCATCCATAATTAAAAAGCCGAAAAGCAGACGTAGAAATAGAGAATTTAAGATTCTTGTGAAGGGATTAATTTCTCTTTAAGCAAAAGGCGAATTAGCTTCATTAACACCCTTCTATTTCTCTAAGCCATATAAATAACCCACAACCAATAATCACCAGGAATCTCAATTAATTTACTCATAATCACATATATTTGTTATATTTATATAATACATATGCCCTTTACAAATTAGGACAATAATTAACAGCAATTGAAATCCCTTCTCTGTAGCCCTACAAACTCTCTTCACAAAACACAAGTTGGCAGCAAGCAGCTTGAGAAGAAGCCTAGCACTCCCTTCTGCACCCAAAAAGGTTAAATTAAAATTCAAAATATTAATACAAGAAAGTTCACCAATACAACTTTGCTTAAAAGTCAAAAAAGATGAACTATAGATTAAGCTCAATTATTAATGCTAATTAAAAACTTTATTTATAAATATAAAAAAAAAAATTGAAAAGAAAAGAAAAAAGTGGAGCTCACCTTCTTGGTTTTAGCGTAAAGAAGTTCTGGTGAGATTTTGTACAAGTCTTCATCAACTGGTTTGGGTGTGACGTTAGCCATAGGCGTTGGACTTGGTGGCTCAATCACATCGCTCACCGTCCAATTTTGCTTTTTCTCATCTTTGGCATGTGAGTCACGAACTTTTGTCTACATTCATGATAAATAAACGTTTTCAAAACAAGATTTTTTGAAGAAAATGCTTGATCTTATAACATAGACTAGTACACGTTTCTCGTTATCCCATAAAAAATGAAGTTTATTTGAGAAAGCAATATTTTTGTAGATACAAAAGCTCAAGTGCATTCATCTTCAAATATTGCTTTAATTCCCAGGTATTTATATTAAGCTACATGAAAAGATGGTAAAAAGAAATGTAAAGATGAAAAGCATCTTCTTGCACAATACTGAGTAATTATATGGACAAAATTTAGGTTAAAAGTTTATTGGTTAACAATTGATTTATATATTTCTGTAATTAATTTGAGCTTACCCTTCTGCGAGGAACAACAATCATGGCAGGAGTGACAACATCGTTTTGATATAAATCACCAGCAACGTACAAATCACGATCTTCAGAGTAACTGTAACGAAGCAAGCCAGCTTCTCTTGCAGATTCAAAGCATTGAGTGAAAGGGAGATCGTTGTTCCAGTCCCAGCTACCAAAAGCTGGTACATGACTTCTCTTGTAGTAATAATCCTACACCAATTAATTAGTATTACAAAACTTATGAACATCCAAGAACAACTAGTAGTACTTGAAGAAGAAAAAGAAGAAGAATAAGACTTACTTCCATTGGAGAGAGTTCACAAGGAATGTTAAAACGTTGGAGACTGATTAGAGTTTGAGTTGAGACTCAAAGTTTCTTTTCTCTCTTGGTGGCTGCCAAGCGTGGGTGCACAACTAGCTATTTAAAAAGAGGTTGAGGGTTAAAAGAGAGAGAGAGTGTGAGTGTTAAAGTCAGTAAGCGTGTAGGGATCCAAAGCAAGGCAATAAAACGCTCCTATTAATCTGTACGCATTAAGTGCCTTAATGTATGCATTTTCTTTATTACAATAGCATTAAATATTTCCAACAATAAACAAATCCATTTTATTTAGAAAGTATTTTCGAATATCACTATAATTATAAAAAAAAATCCTCTTGAAAATATTGAAACCTCTTTGAAACTATCAAACACCCTTTATAAAATTATTAAAAAGCTCTTGATACATGATACAAGTGATTTTAATATTCTAACGAAATAAATGAGTTTAATATTAAACAAGCTTACAAGAGAAAAATAAAATAAACCCATTTAGATAAAAAAAAAAAAGTTTAATTCTACTGATCTTTAGTGTTTTTAAAAAATTACCGATTTTGTTGAAAGATTGACTGTATTATAATAAAAAATAAATAAAAGATTGTTTAAAAATATCCTACACAATTACCATTCTTTATTTAAAAAAAAAGAAAAGAAAGAAAGATTGTACAATTCTTTATAAAAACCCGCACTAACCAGAAGATAAAATTAGAGATTGATTAAAAGGGCATACTAAAACAACCATAAAAGAAAAAAAAAAGGAAAAGAAAAGAAAGCAACCCAAATAACGAAGTTTGACAGCAGGAGACAGAGAGACAAAGAGGTAAGGCTAGGTAAGGTAAGAAAGGAAGAAAGAGATAGATGCATGGTGCAACGTAAAGGTAAGGTTGCTTTTCTTCTGAGTTTTGTTTAATATTCTATTTATCTTTAACTTTTATGATCATCACTCATCAGAGCTCAGGTTGTCTTTTTTCTTCTTCTTTCTTCCTTTTTTTAATTCCTTTATCAGTTTGTCTCTGATCAAATGTATATTCCAATGCATGATGTGTCCGAGTTCTTTTCTTTTCTACTTTCTTGGCCTAAGGTTTGTCCATTTTCCAAGCAAACACAAATGCAAATGCAAATGCAAATACAATACAATAAATTAGAACTCTTTTTAACCCCACACGCGTAGCGGTGAGAACTTAGTGCTCCGTGCAGTTTTTCCAGAGAAGTCCCACTTCTCCCAAGGCTCTCCCAAGGCTTCAAAAGCTGATTTATTAAAAGACCTGATAAATTTATATATATTGGCTATTAATATGTCTAGGGTTTAGGTCAACATACACCTGGTTAATTCAAATATGGTACTAGTTCTTCTGTAAATTGCAGGCTTCAAAAGTTCATACTTGAAGTAGGCAAAACAAAGCCCACCTCTGCGGCTCTGCCCTATCAACAAGAATAATAATTTTTTTTTTATTTGATTTTCATTTTATATTATATCTTGCATGTGCTATACCCTGTAAAGAAGAGGCGCTGATTATTCATGTGCAGACAAGGTGTGCCTGCCTCTGCCCTTTTATTAATTGCTTCTCATGAATTTAAATGGATCAATAGTGTTCATCTAACTTGGTTTTCAAAATTGAAATTAACAAACACAATTGTTAACGATAGGATAATTATAAAAATGATAAAGTGTAACAAAATAAAGTTATATACATGTTGTGCGGGAATACAAATCAAGCTCGAGCCCCGTGGAAGCACAGAGATTCTAGCTTGGATGCCGCACTAAACAAACCGAACAAAATACTCATCCAAGACAATTTTCAGCTCGCAGCTAGGGTCGACGAACATCATCGCTCGTTGCAACACCTAATGAGCCTATTAAACTGAATGGGCACCAGGTGCAATACATGCAACTGCTTCGTTTAACCAGTGACTACTCTCCGATAAACTCCTATTAATTACAACAGTAACTAAGATTAAGCGTAATAATATTCTGATGACCTCAATCAACCAAAACTTGTCAAGGCCGACAATAATCATTTCACTGTCGCATACACACTAACAACTGCCATTGCTAACCCCCTATAAATACCAAGTTAAAACCTTTGTTTTTAATCAAATTCTTTGTAATCACTCATCTCGATAAAAAGAAATAGTGGATGTAGGCTCTATTTCTTGTTTGGTCGAACCACTCTAAAAAATTTGCCTCTTTATTCATTATCATTCGATACATCCTTTGATTCTGATCTTGTCCCAATCATTCGCGTTCGTTCTCACTGATCCCCTCAGATCACACACCTATCCTACTTGGTTCCTCTTGGGGGTCAATCAAGTATCTATAGTTTATGTGTATTCACGTCTCAACATTATAGTCGGTATGAAATTTCGCATCGACAATACAAATTTAATTCAATTAGCTACTATCAACCAAATATGTATTAAAAGAATAATGTCATATCTCTTTATACACTAACATCTTATATATAAGAATAGTGTCATATACTAACATCTTATATATAATTTTTTTTTATAACCGAAGGTATCCGAGTTAGCTTACTCGCACCTCTACTATTCCTTCGAGACCCTGAAATTACCAACCGGGTATAAGCTCTAATGGTCACTTCTATTATGGGTCGTGGGGACTCGAACTCGAGAAACCATTTAAACTTAGATTCTTCTTTGTTTTTTTATCATCAAGCCACCCAATGGTGGTTATCGTATATATAATTTTTGTGTATTGTATAATACTCTTGAGAGGAAAACTAGCAATAGCTCCCTCATTTTTCTTCTGACATTAAAGATTTAAAAAAATATATATATATATATTATAACTTAGATGAATATATTTTTTTATCTCCGATACCATATTTATTCTAGGTCAAGCTATAATAACACTATTTTTTTTATATAAATTCATGACTTGATTCATGATATGTAGTCTAATGGCTTCGAATTTTATTAGTTGGGGTATTAAACATAACCAACTTCTCATCCAACTTCATTGAATTACATTAAATCAAAGACTAAAAATTTGTATTACAATAGTCTAACCCATTTATTATATCTATCATTAATTAATTATAGTGTAATCAGGTAACTTAAAATTTCAACTTTGTAAATATAAATATTATATAAGGGTAAATTAAATAAGTGGTAAGTTTGTTTTCTATACATACAATAAAAACAAAGCAAAAGTGAGAGAAGAATGTTACAAGCTAGTATGTCCTCAAAATTAATGAGTTTTACTAAATTAATATGGTGGAGTTTTATTAGCTCTTATACGCTATAGCTGAAAGGAATGGATTTTGAATTGTAGTTGTCATGGAGATTCAAGAGATATACTTCTAAGTCTCAAAACAAGTGCCACTAAAAGAAGAGAATAAATTAAAAAAAAAAAAAAAAAAAAAAAAGGGGCTAAAACTATTATGGGTGTAGGGCCGTTACGTCTTATCTTATACCTGAATATCTTCTTTATTTCTTATATGTTGTCTATTCTCTTTAACTTTTTCTTGGATTTTACTGCTTACCTATATCATTTACATAGTCCCCACCACACCATGACTATATATGAACACAACAAAAACAAGGTCTCGTTAATTATGCATCGAGATTTTCAAATTTCAAATTTCAGTAGAAAAGGTTTTGAAACTCAAAACCCAATCGACTATACATTGTTTTATAGAATTACTAGTAATTGTAATGTGATCTTCATGCTTTTAAATATGATATTGGTTAAAAGACTTTTTCTTTGAAATCAATACCAAATATCATAATTTTGAATCAAACTGCTTATCATCTAGCATTCTTGATCTCATAAATTACAAAGCAATGAGTGGGTACAAAAACTCTCTAAAATATTAAACATATAATATAAGTTAACTTTTACAAATTGATATGATATGTATCAAATTTTAAACGGTAATACTAGGCGTATAAATAAATATTCTTACAAAGTAATATAGCAAAAAATTTATAGAATAATGAATAAAAAAAAAATCAAACTCATCATATTTAGTATCTCATTTATTTTCTACCACATCACTTTATATAAAAATCTTTGTAAAATTTCTTTATAGGTATAATATTACTCAATTTTATACTACATGACTGTACATAAGACAATATTTAAGAGGCCTAAAACAAGATATTGTCAAATTAAATTGCAAACTGGAAGGTGGACATTAATTGGCCTAAAACAAGGTTTCTGATGGATAGGATTGAAGGCCTAAACTATGCCCAACAGGCTACAATTAAAATGGCTTTTAATATGTCTCATAATGCGTCATAGCAAAAGGGAAGTGATAATGTGGTATTCAGGTATTTAGTTAGAATCCCCCCAAGTGAGTCTAACTCAAAAAAGTATTCTCCGAGCCCTACCCGTCTCCAAGACGGGGATTTTGGGGAATCTCCAAGCCCAACCCGCAGGGATGTGGTTACTCTAATCCCCAACCCGGCCTGCCAGAATTCCAGCAAAATCAACATTTTAAGACTATTAAGTTCAACTAAATGTCTCCGATCTTGTCCCAATCATTCGCGTTCGTTCTCACTGATCCCCTCGGATCACACACCTATCCTACTTGGTTCCTCTTGGGGGTCAATTGAGTATCTATAGTTGATGTGTGTTCACGTCTCAACATTATAGATGGTACGAAATTTCGCATCGACATTACAAATTTAATTCAATTAGCTACTATCAACCAACTATGTATTAAAAGAATAATGTCATATCTCTTTATACACTAACATCTTATATATAAGAATAGTGTCATATACTAACATCTTATATATAATTTTTTTTTATAACTGAAGGTATCCGAGTTAGCTTGCTCGCACCTCTACTATTCCTTCGAGACCCTGAAATTACCAACCGGGTATTAGCTCTAATGGTCACTTCTATTATGGGTCGTGGGGACTCGAACTCGAGAAACCATTTAAACTTAGATTCTTCTTTGTTTTTTTATCATCAAGCCACCCAATGGTGGTTATCTTATATATAATTTTTGTGTATCGTATAATACCCTTGAGAGGAAAACTAGCAATAGCTCTCTTATTTTTCTTCTGACATTAAAGATTTAAAAAAATATATATATATATATTATAACTTAGATGAATATATTTTTTTATCTCCGATACCATATTTATTCTAGGTCAAGCTATAATAACACCATTTTTTTTATATAAATTCATGACTTGATTCATGATATGTAGTCTAATGGCTTCGAATTTTATTAGTTGGGGTATTAAACATAACCAACTTCTCATCCAACTTCATTGAATTACATTAAATCAAAGACTAAAAATTTGTATTACAATAGTCAAACCCATTTATTATATCTATCATTAATTAATTATAGTGTAATCAGGTAACTTAAAATTTCAACTTTGTAAATATAAATATTATATAAGGGTAAATTAAATAAGTGATAAGTTTGTATTCTATACGTACAATAAAAACAAAGCAAAAGTGAGAGAAGAATGTTACAAGCTAGTATGTTCTTAAAATTAATGAGTTTTACTAAATTAGTATGGTGGAGTTTTATTAGCTCTTATACGCTATAGCTGAAAGGAATGGATTTTGAATTGTAGTTGTCATGGAGATTCAAGAGATATACTTCTAAGTCTCAAAACAAGTGCCACTAAAAGAAGAGAATAAATTAAAAAAAAAAAAAAAAAAAAAAAAGGGGCTAAAACTATTATGGGTGTAGGGCCGTTACGTCTTATCTTATACCTGAATATCTTCTTTATTTCTTATATGTTGTCTATTCTCTTTAACTTTTTCTTGGATTTTACTGCTTACCTATATCATTTACATAGTCCCCACCACACCATGACTATATATGAACACAACAAAAACAAGGTCTTGTTAATTATGCATTGAGATTTTCAATTTTCAAATTTCAGTAGAAAAGGTTTTGAAACTCAAAACCCAATCGACAATACATTGTTTTGTAGAATTACTAGTAATTGTAATGTGATCTTCATGCTTTTAAATATGATATTGGTTAAAAGACTTTTTCTTTGAAATCAATACCAAATATCATAATTTCGAATCAAACTGCTTATCATCTAGCATTCTTGATCTCATAAATTACAAAGCAATGAGTGGGTACAAAAACTCTCTAAAATATTAAACATATAATATACGTTAACTTTTGCAAATTGATATGATATGTATCAAATTTTAAACAGTAATACTAGGCGTATAAATAAATATTCTTACAAAGTAATATAGCAAAAAATTTATAGAATAATGAATAAAAAAAAAATCAAACTCATCATATTTAGTATCTCATTTATTTTCTACCACATCACTTTATATAAAAATCTTTGTAAAATTTCTTTATAGGTATAATATTACTCAATTTTATACTACATGACTGTACATAAGACAATATTTAAGAGGCCTAAAACAAGATATTGTCAAATTAAATTGCCACTGGAAGGTGGACATTAATGGGCCTAAAACAAGGTTTCTGATGGATAGGATTGAAGGCCTAAACTATGCCCAACAGGCTACAATTAAAATGGCTTTTAATAGGTCTCATAATGCGTCATAGTCAAAAGGGAAGTGATAATGTGGCATTCAGGAATTTAGTTAGAATCCCCCCAAGCGAGTCTAATTCAAAAAAGTATTTCAGCCTAATAAACTTTAATAGACAGTCTATCCCACCACACTATAACCCACCAAAATGCCACATTAACAGCTTGGGCCCGCCGGTCTCCTGAAGAGGGTTACGAAAACATACATAGGCATGAGACCGAATATACCTTACTGAAATATGAAATAGCTTGGAACCGCTTTGGGCTTTTACGAGCTACCTTGATAAAAGAGGGCATCAACAAGGGTAAAAACATAATTTTCTATTTTAACATAGTATTATTAAAGATTTTTAACGGAATAGGGGTTAGCTCCTATTCCAACATCGGTGTCAGAGATGGGCACAAGTCAAGGACCCCTGTCCCCGAGCCCAGTCCAAGGGCCCAATGAGATTCCCCGAGCCCTACTCGTCTCCAAGACGGGGATTTTGGAGAATCTCCAAGCCCAATCCGCGAGGATGTGGTTACTCTCATCCCCAACCCGGCCTACCTAGAATTCCAGCAAAATCTATAGTTTAAGACTATTAAGTTCAACTAAATCTATTATGATTTTTAAATAAATATTTGCAAATTAATAAATTAAAATTATCCAAAAAGTTTAAAAACCTAAATAGTGTTATGATAATTTGAAAAGTAATTTAGAAATGCTTTTTAAAGTGTAATAAATATTATCAACAAAGAGATGAAGCAAGAGTTTTGATAACAAAAGAAGGAAAGTAATCAACCAATTAAATTCAAATTTCCTCTAATTTGTACTTAGCCATAAATTTCATTCCCAAATTTTAATTATATTACCTATTCAGCCGTAGTGAAGGTAACACTCCTTTCTAGCACACCGGTTCTGGTTCCCGTGGTGGCACACCACAACCCTGCAAGCAAGAAATGTGTAGATGATTTTCTTGGTGTACATAAATGCTTGATACAAATTCAAGAGTTGTTATGAAAATCTCTAGATTAATATTAGTTCATAATGTTGTAATGCAATTCAATAAATGATGATATTCAAGAGTCCATTTTATCTTCTTTTATTTAATTCTGTAGCAGTTTAATTTTATTATTTGTTTGATTACGCTTAGATTTCGGGATAATAAATTCCTTTTATTTTTTCAATTAGGAGATTTTATTCAATAATAAGATTGTGATTATAATTTACTTTTATGTTTTTCAATTACGAGAACTATTTTTATTGGTAGCATTCATTACAAGAAAAAAAATATGCCTAAAAGAAAATAATTGTTTTTTTATCATTTTATTCAATTAATAAATCTTACAAACAAAATTTTTTTTGATACTTTCCTCTTCTTCCTAGAATTTGTTATCTGCGGTGATTTAGGAAAAAAAAAAAAAAAAAAAATTCTTAAGATTTCCCCATCCGTGGGGGTGGGACGGGTTTGGGATATGACCATCTCTATCCCCAAGGCCAAGAAATGTCATTGGGCCCAAGCCTATCCTGGCCCCGACAATTTTGAGTAATCCCCGCTCCAATCGGGTCAGGTCCCGACGGAGCTGGAAAATGCCCATCCCTAATTGGTGGGTGGTTTTATGAATTAGTGAAAAGTTTTGGAGTTTACATAACCCTTTAAGAAAACTATAGTTTTAAAATTTCACCAAACATGTCACATTTTATTTTGAGTTAAAATATTTGGTGAAAATAATGTGTAGTAGAAAAAAAAAGGTTTTTGGTTGTAAAAATGCTTGAAAAATAGTATATTTGGATACACGTTTGGTTTACAATTCGTAACTCTATATATTTCCAAGATTTGGGATAGCCTTAAGTGATTTAGGTCATATCTAGAAGAATTTTCATTTTTAGATCTCGTAATATTTTCCCATTTCTAAATTTTTTTAACATATCTTTTAATAATATTTTGTAGTTCTTTGAATTGTTGGGCCGTTTTTAGTAATTTCCCTTATTTATATGTTTATATAGTACATAGCATCACAGTTGTAAAGTAAGAGTTATATTTGAATCTCTTAATGCAAAACATAACATGAATGCATGCATTTTTGGCCAAGCAAAGTTTAAATAACATATCTATTTTCGTATATTTATTTTATAAATTTTCTGTTTTTTGATGAAAGAAAACTATAGTAATTAAATTTTTTTTTATTAAACTATATCGTTAAATGAGTTTAAGAATAGCGTTTTATTTATTATTAAACTCTATTTTTATGATTATTGAAATTCATTAATTTCAATAAAAACTCTATTTCATATTATAGTTTTTTTATCTTTCATTATGCAAACTTTGGACATGCACCTTTCAGGGATTCTTTTGATTTGTTCTTATACCAGCACTACTTAAGAGTTTTATATTCTACTATTACTAAAATTGACATGAAGGTCCATTGTTTTAAAAGAAGAAAAGGAATAACCCACAGGATTTTAATCATGTGAAGAGAAAAGGAAGAATTAAAAAAAAAAAAAAAGGAAATTAAATAAAAAGAAACCGAGAGAGAAGAAGATGAAGATTTGAGAGAGGAGACTAAAAAATGAACAATTTTTTTTTTTATTCTAAATTTTATATCTAAATACCATTTTTACCTTTATATATATATATTTTGGTGAATAGAAGTATTCGAGTCAACTTGTCTTTTTATATATAACTGACAGATCCAAACAGAATTACGTCAATTAATTAATTGTCTTTTGTATTATGGTGAACAAAGTTGTAGGGACATATGCTTTGTGATTCTCGACTTTTATTTTAAGTTGATTCCAACTAACAAGGGTTATTTAAAAAAAAACTTGACCTAAAAATCTAAAAAAGACAAAAGTTTAAGGGAATGTGGTCCAAAATTCTTGTATAATACATATATATACTCAACCACAAATATAATTAAGACGTATTATTAATTTATTTGTTTAGGAATTCACAAACACTCAAAAGCACGCATAAAAATGAAATATATATGTAGTTAAAGATGCCTTAAAAAAAACTTAAACGTAAATATTAAGTAAAGTCTAGTAATCTTCAAGGTTTTGAGCTTCGGCATCATCATCATCATCATCATCAAAAGTAGCATCAGTTTCATCCACTTCATTTTCAACCAGAGGTGATGTAATTTCTTTTTCTTCATTTTCCTCCTTCAATGCAGTCTCAACTTCTTCCTCTTCTTCTTCATCATCATCTTCATGAACAACTACTTCTGCTTCTTCAGTAGGTGTGGCTACTTTTTCTTCCACGGTCGAAGGGACCTCAAAAGTTTCTTCTATATCTCCGGTGGCTGGTGCTTCAACTTCAACCTGAAATAGTATGCTATTTGTGTTAATTAATTACCAAGCAATGAACTTCTTCTAGTACATATATTTCCAACTGTCACTACCCAAAAAAAAAAAAAAGAGTTTTTCCGACGCCAACATTTTTTTGATAACTTAACCTAATCATCAATATCAACTTCTATAGCTAGCTGCAGGAAATAATTTGCTATAGTAATACATTTATTTATTTATTTTTTTAGTGTTGTAGGAAAAAAAATATTTCCAATCATAAAGAAAATACCATATATACATATAGAAGATTGAGTCAACAAGTTCTTTCCTTCTTCCTTCTAATATATTTACCGAGTTTACCCAAAATAATAATAATAATAACAAAGTAATTAAAAGAGAGAGAAAGCAAGGCACCTTTGAAGAGGCCATGGAATTATTGAATTGATGGGCAAATTCTTAAATGAAAGAAGAATGTTCAATTATGAGTAAAGATAGATGATTTGAAACAATATGAGAAGGGTGTGAAGGCCTTATATATACAATATAAAGCCACATATTTTGTTTAATTTAATTAATTAATACATGTTTAAAGTTTATATTACAATAGATAACCCATACCTATAAAATAATCACAATAAACAATGGAAAAACAGAACGATAAAAGATGGACAAAGTGAATGAAGAGTGGAGGAAGAAAAGCATGGGTAATCTATGCCGAATCCTTCATAATTGATAGCTTTAATCACTTCAAGAACCTATTCTCTTCCACGTGTCAATAATCTAGCGGTGACATATGCTAAAATTGAGGAATTAGGGATAGCAAAGGAAGGAAGTGGGAACACTTTTTAAGGTTCTTTCATCTTTGAAACCCTCCTCTTTCTTAATGGAGAATGAAGATGCCAATTCAATGTTTATATATGATTATATGTAGATATTTTAGAGTTATACATAACGTTGCTTATTCTTTATAACACTAAGACCAAACCAAGCATATTTCTATAAAATTTTAAAGATATCTTAAATTAAAAATTACCCAAAAGGAAATTTATTATTTATAGTTTTGAAACAATATATAGCTTTTTTGGTCTAGAAGATTTTTTATTCATATTGCCGTTAGAAAATTTCAGAAAAAAAAGAATGTGAAAAAGATGAATAATTTAGGAATAAATTAATTTCTCAATAAAATGAAGCTTTCCCCCTAAGTAACATTACTCTTAGATGATAATGTCTGCTTTACTTTATAAATCTTATTTATATCCAATATGGTTGTGTACTTCTGTTTGTTCCTCACAACTGCACTGCATCAAGTTCGTGAACAGTATATCTACAGTATTTAGATATTTTAGTCATGTATTTGATTGCAATTTTTGGTGAACGGGTGTTGATGGCCACTTTTGTCAAAGAGATCCAATGCCATAAATCAAGCTCCAAGTCTCCACAATAATGGCTGTTTTTTGGACCTCAATAAAGCGTATGGCATTTTCTAATGAAAGCTCATGTCACTTTGAAAGGTAAGCTCATGTCATTCGAACCAATGTAAGCCCATGGCGTTCGCCAATGAAAGCCCACAACACTTTCAAAGGTAAGCCAGGGCGTTCTCTAATATAAAGCCGCGACACTCTTGAAAGTCCACTATAATCCAAGACTTTGGACATATTCTCTCACAAAAAATGCTACGGACACTAAATACTGATATCGAAATTTTACACCGATCTACGTGACATTTGACTCAGACGTGTCACATAGGATACAACATAGATATTCAGTAAATGAACAACCGTCCAATAATTTTAGATGAAATATTCATTCCTAAAGCATAAAATTTTTAGATAAAATAAAAGAAAAAAAAAAACTTTGATTTTAAGTATGGACGCTAGTCCATCAAACGAGGATGGTCGTCCATATACAATAGACAGCCATCCAAATGAGTGGACTGGCGTCCACTCCCAAAATTTTTTTTTTTCATTTATAAACAAAATGCAAAGCAAGAGAGAAATGAAACCTGTTTTGGGAGGCCTAAATTTGTAAACATTCTAATTGAAAATTTTACAGAAGATTTTTTATTAAACTAAAATTTGGGCATGGACGGTCGTCCATCTTACATGGACAGCCGTTCATAGTAAATGGACACCGGTCCATATTATATGGACGGGAGTCCATTGATATTGTTGTGGACGATCGTCCATGTAAGATGGACGGTCGTCCATTCACGGAATCAATATTTTCTATCCAACGTGACCGCGTCTTAGTGGATGCCACGTCATTCAGTAAAAAATTTCGGTGCACAAATTCAGTGTTTGTAGCGTTACCGATTCTCTCACAAGCCTTTCTACAACACAAGACTTAACTCGTTTCAGCACAAGATAATCCTTCCTTATGGATTCAACATATCCCATAAGCAACAACATACAACAACACACTAAGGTAAACAAGAGTAAGTATCTCTCTGTTTTTCCGAAGGCTAATGACCCAAATCACTTCAGTGGGGCATTATCGTGTGTCAGGTAAGTAAGTCCAAAAAGGCTTATTATAATGAGTAAACGACATTTTCCCACCCAAGGTTTGGCGAATCTCCAGTTCCCACCCTTGGTTTCATAAATTGCAAATTCCCACCCTTAAATTAACACTATTACTTTTCTCTCAAAATAACCCCTAGAGGATCCCGGACAAGCCAAAAATCTGGCTTGATTCTGGTACCATTGGACCTTCCTGACACCACCATTAGCATCCCCTTATCCTCCTCACCAAAACCCCTAACTTTTCCACCCGATTGCACCTTGGTGAGGTGCCAGAATTTGGCTAGAAAGGTGAGAAAAAATGCGAAAACCTATGGGAGAGGCGGCAGCGATTGGCGGGCAATTGCGATCGGCGATGTTGGGGGTTTTGGTGGGGGAGGTCGGTGATGCTATTGGTGGTGTTTGGGGTGGTTTTTGGTGCCAGGACCTACCGAAATTTTGATGAAACGCCGACTGAAATTAAGAGCGGCGGCTGGCGATTGGGGAGTTCAATCAGGCGGGGAGGTTAGGGGTTTTGATTTGGGGGTTGAGGGGATTGTAATGGTGGTGTCGGGAGTAGGAGTGGAAAAAAAAACCCAAAAACCGAACTGGACCGAAAATCCGTTTTTTTTTTCGGTTTCGGTTTGATTATTTAAAAAATCAAAAATCCGGTTCGATTTTCAATTTTTCGTAAAATAAAATCCGGTTACCCGGAACCGGTTTGCTGAATCGAAAAATATTAAATATTTATTTGTTTTTACTTTTTAGTTTTGACATTTTTACTTTACAGTCTACTGACTCTACTCTTGTCACTCTGTCTCTCTTGTGTCTAACACTAAATCTAACACAACTAGGGCTGTTCAACGAGGTGAGCCGCTCGCTAGCCGACTCAGCTCGGCTCGAGTACGGCTCGTTAACGGCTCGCCTCGTCTGAAATCGAGCCGACTCGGCTCGATTCGTGAGAGAACACGAGCTGAGTTCGAGCCTACCTCGACTCAGCTCGTTAGGCTCGCGAGCCGAGTCAGGCTCGAATTATTAGGGGCGTTTTAGGGGTTTTAGTAAGTATAAGGGATTAAACTAAAATTTTTAAAACAAAAAGTTTACAAAAATGACAAAGAACACCCCCATGTTAAAATCCCTAAAAACGCAACTAAAATCCTTTCTCCTCAAACTAAACTAAACCAAACCATTTTAGGCAGTCGGCGTCAGATTTGGTGGAGAGTGCAAGGAACAAGGAAAAAAAAAGAGGAAAGAAATCAGAGTTGGTGGAGATCAGGGAGTGCCGGGGAAACAAGGAGAAAGAATGAAAGGAAGAAAGAGAAAATAAGAAAAAAGGAGAAAAAAGAAAGAAAGAAAGAGAAAATAGGAGAAACAGGTGTCATGAGAGAGAGAGAAAATAAGAGAAAGCAAAGAGTAATAAGAAGAGGACGAGAATAACTTAGAGTTGTGGAGACTGCAGAGAGCAAGGGAAACAGGGAGAAAGGGAAAAAGAAGAAGAAGAGAGAAACGTGAACCATTGTCGTTGAGTCTGGAGAGAGAAAAGAAGGCAAATCAATAATTTAGAGGAAAGAAGTGAGAGAGAAATAAATGAGAGAGAGAGAAAAGAAAGAGTAATAAATGAGGGAGGAGAAAAGCTGACCGAATTTTGAAAGGTTCGCGAGCCGGCTGTCAAGTTGCCCAAATTTTTGCAAAAAAAAATTGAATAAAAAAAATATATAATTATTTGGAGATGGCTAGCGAGCCGACTCGAAATATACTAAATCTATTATCGAGCCGAGCCATATAATTTTTGACTCGGTCTCGACTCGTTTACTTTTTCTCTTTCACGAGCCGAGCTCGATAAGCCGAAAACTCGGCTCGGCTCGATAACACCCCTAAACACAACACTACAAGTCTACAACAGATCTACACTATGATTCTCAGATTTCTCACCGCCGCACGCCGCAGTTGCATTCTCTGTCGGACTCTCACGCCGCACGCTGCCACGCCCCAGCTGCATTCTCTGTCTCTCATTCTCTGTCGAACTCACCTCACGGCTCACTCACCTCAGACCACAAAGTAAGTCTCGCATTCTCTCTTAGATCTGTGTTTCCGATGGGTTTTAGATCTAGGTTTTCATATCCGCATTTCTAAAGTTCACCATCTACATTTGCTTTATTCCATCATTTGTCATCGTTAAATTAAGTATGGGAAATAGGCAACAGCCAGAATTTGTGTGTATAAAGGAAAACATATATATCTCAGCTATTGATGCATGGCCTTATAGGCAAAAATGAATATCTTGCATCAATATAATTATTTTTTGCTGCTTGTATTAGTGAACTGGGAGAAATGAAAGACATATATACACTAGAAAACAACATTAATTGCACTCTTTCTTCAATTAACGAAAAAAAAAAAAAAAAAAAGTTGCATGGTTATGACTATGAGAGCACTTGAATATGGTTATTTTTGTTCCCTTGTAAGAAATTTTTTAGTATACCTGCATGTCTACTTCTTGGTTTTGGCATGATGCTTGACTTAGAATACTACATAGCTTCAGGCCATACTCCCTGAAGACTCTGGTGCTGAAGTCTTTCAGATTCTTGGATGCGAACTCAAAGGTTGCTGTCTTCCTTTGTTTCCTCCAAAGTTCACCATCTACATTAAAAATCCCATCTCCAAGTAGCATGGTTTTCTCTGCTCATAATTTTCAATGTTCATTTGGCCCTGCATATGATTTCTTATATATAAGAGACCTGCAATGTGGTGCTCTTCTCATACTCAAAATGGCCAAGTCTTGTATTTTTTCATTCTTGTTCTTTTCCCTCTTGCTTGGCCATGGAGTTGTTGAGCTTGAAGCCTTAACCCCTGTTTACAGAAACATGTTTTTGGGTCTTTATGGTTCCTTTGGCTCTAACGGTGGATGAATATCCAAGACAAAACCATGCAACTTATTATAATTACCGCATTTATGCATGGTTTTCGATGTATTATGAGTTATGAGTGTCTTCTTTTAAATAGAAGAAAAACCAAAAAATCAAAAGTTGAAAAATACACTAGAAATTGTCTAAGCAATTT